AAAAAAATTTTAGGCAAAATTAACACTCAAAGGTGTTCTGTAACCTTAAATGAAGTTTGTAGAGAGACAGAAACTGAACCGCAACTACAGCCCCCTTCAGGAGAAATTATTCTACCTCGATCTTCGAATAAGCAAGATGACGCCCGAGTTGATATTAAGACCATCGGTTTCTGGGGACGACAACAAAGCTCATTCTTTGATTTTCGGGTTTTCCACCCTAACGCGCCAAGTTATCGTAACACCAGTGTTGCTGCTCCATTCCGAAAACATGAGTTGGATAAGAAAAGAGAATATGGTGAGCTCGTGAGAGAGGTGGAAAACAGTTCTTTTACACCGGTGTTCTTTTCAACAACAGGAGGTGCTAGCAGATAAACTACTGTTGTCTATAAGAGACTTGCTGATCTCCTTGCAAACAAAAGGAAGTCTTCATATGACACTACTTTAGCGCGGATGCGGTGCCATATCTCTTTCGCTTTAATGAGATCTGCAATATCATGCATTAGAGGATCAAGGGGACAACGACGCCATCGAGCTGGTATGGGAATTAATACAGAAGTTGTCGAGAGTAACTTACTGAGCCATTCTTAAACATTAATTTGTTGATTATAATAAACATTTGACATCTTAAATAATACAAACGAGATATTCGAGAAATTTTTAGCCAGTTCATAGAACAATTCGGAACATTTTCTATATTTTTTATAGTATATTTTATTAATAGTCTATTATAATAATTATTTGTCAATAAAGTTTTCATTATTATTATTATTATTATTATTATTATTATTATTATTATTATTATTATTATTATTATTATTATTATTATTATTATTATTATTATTATTATTATTATTATTATTATTATTATTATTATTATTATTATTAGAAAATAAACTTAGGAACCGTTTGAAATGTCAAGGTTCCTTTTTCGAAAATGTTTCTAAATTCTTGCTATCACAACTTAACGCAATCTGGTCGGTATCGCAATCAAAGCTACCAAAGAACATTTTCAACTTTACAATTCGCTATATAAATAATACCCTTCCTACCCGAAAGAACCTCAGTAGATGGGGAATTTCATCAAGTTCTGACTGCTCGTTCTGCTTACACCCTGAATCACTTCTGCACGTTGTTGCCGGTTGTCAACATTACTTGGAACGATTTACTTGGAGACACGATTGCATACTAAAGTTTCTTGCAAAAACCTTTCAAAGTTTAAACGAATGCAAATTACTTGTTGATCTTCCTCGATTTGAAAGCCCCTCGATTATTACGGGAGATGAATATCGTCCTGATTTACTTGTCTCCACTTCAGACAAACACCTCTACGTTGTTGAACTTACCGTAGGCTTTGAATCAAACCTCACAAACAATGTTAACCGCAAGAAAGCTAAATATAAGACCCTAATTAGAGAACTAGATCAAAACTTTACATCTGTTAAATTTATAAATCTTTCAGTCAGTTCGCTAGGGGTGTTTGACAAAGAATGCCATACATTCGTAAAAATGCTAAATGAGTTAGGACTGGATAATCAACACCAACAATATTATATCAGAAAAATGATATCTATTGCCATCCGATCAACGTACTACATATTTTGCTGTAGAAATAAAGAATGGACAAATCCCGAACTAATGAACATTTAAAGTAACTATTTCTATAAATAATTAACAATTTTTGTATATAAAACTATAACCACGTATAAGGGATTCAAGTAGTCAATTGTAGGTTACCTCAAGAAGTGAGATTTACAATTGTATATATCTATAAATGTTCTATTAATAAAGTTTTCATTATTATTATTATTATTATTATTATTATTATTATTATTATTATTATTATTATTATTATTATTATTATTATTATTATTATTATTATTATTATTATTATTATTATTATTATTATTATTGTTATTATTATTATTATTATTATTATTATGCCAATGGTCCAATATGATTATCAGAGTCGATAAATGTAGTACCTTTGGCATCAAGAAAGCCATCACAAAATCAGTCCAATATTTGCCGAAATTCATCATCAACAATAATCTGATACCAACAGTAAAGATTGGAGAAGCATTTCAATATTTAGGACGTTACTTTGATTTTAACAAGTCGAACGATAACCATAAGACTGAACTAACCACTCTCGTTAATGAACTAATGACTGATATTGACTCGAAGCCACTCCACCCAAGAAATAAGCTTCCCGTATACAGTCGTTATGTCTTATCCAAAATATCGTGGCATTTCACCATCGCAACACTTTCTAAAACATGGGTTATTGAAAATATTGATCCCGTAGTCAACCAGTACATCCGTAAATGGCTTGAAATTCCAATCTCAGGAACACTAAGTACTGTTTTTCTAACTCGCAACAAATTTGGTCAAAGTATTTATCCTCCATCGGTGAAATTTATCCAATGCCAAACAGTTCTTCGAAAAGCTTTAAAACTTTCTCCAAATCAATCAATCAACGAACTGGGGAAATTTACTAATACTCATACTAATATCCAATACGACTTTTATAACTCAACCAAAGAAGTGCTTAAAGACTTTCGGTCTGAACATGAAGATAAACTCCAAAATCAATTAACTTGTCAGGGATACTTTTTCTCTAGTGTAACAAAGTTCTCCTTGTCGCATCTTAGCAAAGTGTGGTCTACTGCTCAATCAAAGCTTCCGAAAAACATTTATAACTTTACCATACGCTATATCAATAACTCTCTTCCGACACGCAAGAACCTTAGCAGATGGGGATTGTCTTCAAGTTCAGAATGCTTCTTTTGTCTTGGCCCAGAATCATTATTGCACGTGGTCGCTGGATGTCAGTGTTATCTCGATCGATTTACGTGGAGACACAATTCAATCCTGAACTTCCTTGCCAATACCTTGCAAACTCTGAACGGTTCTGCCCTCTACGCTGATGTGCCTGGATTCAAAAGTCCGTCAATAATAACTGGTGATACGTGTCGCCCGGATTTGTTGCTGTCGTTATCAAATGGCTCTCGTTATGTGGTCGAGCTCACTGTTGGCTATGAGACAAACCTCGAGAACAACGTTAATCGGAAAAAAGCCAAATATAAAGAACTAGTAAAACAACTAGACGAAAATTTTAACGAAGTAAACTTTATAAATCTTTCCATGAGCTCCCTAGGTATTTTTGCGCAAGAATGCTCTACATTCTTAGAAATGTTAGGAAATGTTGGTCTGGACAAAAACTACCAAACGTACTGTGTTAGAAAAATGATGACTATTGCCATTCGAAGTACATACTATATTTTTTGCTGCCGAAATAAGGAATGAGAAAGTCCGGACTTGTTAACTATTTGAAATATCTGATTGTCTTGTATATTTATATATTTTCATGTATTCTGTCTTATCATTTTTATTAGTTCATATAGTTGTGATCCAAATAGCCAATTGCAAGTTACCTTAAATTAGTGAGATTTACAATTGTATATATATAGTATATAACAAAATTATTAAAGTTTCCATTATTATTATTATTATTATTATTATTATTATTATTATTATTATTATTATTATTATTATTATTATTATTATTATTATTATTATTATTATTATTATTATTATTATTATTATTATATTATTATTATTATTATTATATATATTATTATATTACTATGATCTCGAGGGAGTCAGACGTTTCTAGTCGAGCTCCTGCAGATCATTAATGTTTTAACGATTTTAATCGGTGCAAAGATTTATTTTGATTATTTCTATGTGTCTATCGTTCGTACGTTTACTACACTGATAAAGCATGAAAACTTTAATATTTTGGTTCTTCTTGCTCGTTGTCTGTTCCTACTGTAATCGGGATTTTAAGTCTCTTGGCCGACATCAATGGCGCTGTAAAGAACGGCTTCGTGAGAATGTGAACGAAAGGAACGAAGGCCCAACACTTGTCACAAACAATCACGATTTGACTCAAAGTAATGCTGAGATGGATGATGCTGCGTTGAGAAACCAAGGTCGTATTTCAAACGTCGACTATGTTAAATGTTGTTGCGGCAAGAAATGTAAAGGTTTGCGAGGCTTGAAGGGTCATCAAAGATCATGTCGCTTCATCAAAGGTATGTGCTCTGATTTGCTATTGCCACATGAAGGAGAAATCACAAACGAACACGATCAAATAAGTGATGTTGACGAAGATATATTTAATGGCACGCCTATTTTAAAGCCGGGCGTTAAACTTCCAAAAACTGAACATGAATGGAAGGAGGAGGATCTTTATTTTAGAGCCGAGCTGCCTATATTCGAGGTTAGGGAATGTTCGGTGAACGATTGTGTTGACAAAATGACGAATTTGGTATATGATTACTTTGTAGAAAATTTCGGTACGGTGAATAAGTGCAAGGATTCCAACTCTGAATATCATACTAAGTATGCTAGTTACTCAAAACAAGAGCTAAAACGAGAACTGAAAGCATTGAAACGCCAGTCACCTGTTGATGTAGAGAATATTCAGTATGTGTCAAGATTACTAAGGAAATTAACTCAGAATAAAGGCCATGATAATACTAAATCTATTAATCACGACGAGGAAATCAAGAAAAATTTCTGGGCTTATGCCAAATCGCATTTAGATAGCGCTGACTATCTGATACCAACGTTCGATTTGGCAACTTGCACTAATTACTTTAAAAACATTTGGATGAACGCATGTCCATCTCATGTTTTTTCCCTACCAAATTGGTTACCGAGACTTTCAGCACCTGTACACGAATTTAATTCTACACCTCCAACTTATGCTAAAATTACGGCTATCATCAAAAGAATGAAAACAGGTAGCTCTGCGTGCCCGCTTGATCAGCTCTCAATTATTCCCTTTAAAAAATCTGCATACCTTAGATCTTACTTGACAACAATCATTCAAATGGTATGGAAATCGGGCCAAATTCCTGACACTTGGAGAAGAGCTGCATCAATTCTTATTCACAAAAAAGAATCAACTGACGATCCTCAAAAATTTAGACCAATTACCCTGCAATCAGTGCCTCTCAAAATTTTTACATCAACAATACGGAATGCCATGTATGAGTTTCTATCAAAAAACAATTATATTGAAAATAGGATTCAAAAAGGATTTACTCCGGGAATGTCCGGCACGTTTGAACATACGGCCCATTTAGCGTACTTAATTAGACGAGCGAAAAAACAACAAAGATCTCTAACAATAGCACTACTTGACTTAAGAAATGCATTCGGCGAAGTCCACCATAAGCTGATTCAAACAGTACTAAAATATCATCAAATCCCCGAGCATTTTCAAAATTGTATTGCAAACCTCTATACTGACTTCCGTACCGTAGTGGTTACGGAAAAATATCTAACACCGTTCCTTAAAGTCAGTAAAGGAGTGCTACAAGGAGATTGTTTGAGCCCGTTGTTGTTCAACATGGTAATGAATACGTTTATTCAATACATTAAAACGGATCAGTTTTGTCAACTCGGATTTAATGCTGGGCAGCCGTTTCTAACCCCCAAACATTGGTTTCAATTTGCCGATGACGCGGTGATAACAACAGGTGAGGAGTACGAGACACAAATATTACTGAATGCATTCACCATGTGGTGTAATTGGGCAAAAATGACGCTAAGAGTCGACAAATGCAAGTCATTCGGAATTATCAAAAGGAACTCATTATCCAAGCAGTATTTTCCGAAAATTTACGTTAACCACGGCTTAATTACAGCGGTAAAGGGGAACGAAAGCTTTTGTTATCTCGGTAGATTTTACAACTTCCCGATGGATAACGTAGAACATAAACAGTTCTTGCTGTCTGAGACTAGTAGCATCTTAGAAAAAATCGATCGTCTCCCTCTACACTCAAAATTTAAGCTTGAGTTATATATGAAATATCTGCTCCCGAAAATATCTTGGCATCTCACTATTGCAGACATTGATAGAACATGGATAAAGCAAACTTTAGACACAATGTGCCACAATAAATTTCGGACATGGCTTGAGATACCACCAAACGGCACCCTTGACATATTGCTTCTTGGGAAATCCAAATTCGGTTTCGACATCATTGATGTATCAACAAAATTCACTGAATGTCAAGTAATTTTGCGAAATAAATTAAAAGACTCGAGTTGTCTAGACACCCAAAACCTTTTCTACGCATCTAGCTCAAACTGTAATGTGCAGTACGATGGTTTCTCCACCCCAAAACAGGTTGCCAAAGAAATTAGGAAAGATAAGATCTTTAATATTGAAAGCAAGCTAACGTCGCAGAGTCTTATAATTAAGTCGATTTGGAGAGATGCTTTCCAGGGTACAGCGAAAGATTGGCACTCGGCAGTTGACAAACTCCCTAAAAACATATACAACTTCGTAACTAGATATTTAAATAACACCCTACCTACATTAACAAACATGGTTTTGTGGAAGAAAGCTCAAAATAATCTGTGTCATTTCTGCTTGAATGTGCAAACACTACAACATATAGTGTCTTCTTGCAAAACATCCCTGGACGAAGGTCGATACACATGGAGACATAATTCAGTGCTGAAACACCTAGCAACGTACATATCTAGTGTCAGAAGGGACTTTCACGTTTATGCAGACATTTCTGGTTTTGATAATCCATCTGTGATCACAGGCTGTAATGACCGACCAGACTTGGTAATATCAGACAACAACCAAAATATATATGTTATTGAATTGACAATCGGCTTTGAAACTAATATGGCAAAAAACTGTTTAAGGAAAAGGGAACGATACAAGGATCTTTGTAACTTTTTAAGAGAACGATTTAACAAAGTAACGTATTTTAACTTATGCATGGGCGCGATTGGAGTTTTAAGTCATGAATGTAAACAGTTCTATGACTTTTTGGACCGCGAAGTAAGATTAAGCGATATGCAAAGAAAATTCATCATTAGAAAACTAACCGGCTGCTGCATAAGGACAAGTTATTATATATTTTGTTCTAGAAACAGACAATGGTCTTGCCCTGAACTTTTATATTGGTAGGATTCATGCTGTCATGTGTATGTACAGTTATCTTATTTGACACTGTCTACGTTGTTACCTTACGAACGTATTTTAAAATAACCATTGTAATAGCATTTCTGTAGAAATTCCATTTTGATGATTTGTAAATATTTTAAGCTTAGTTTAACATTGTATTCTTTTCTTAATCTTTTGTACCATAATGTAGCCAGGTTGCCTATAATACTTTAGTGAGAGCTGGTTACTAATATTTGTATGAAATGAAATAAAATGTGTTTACATTATTATTATTATTATTATTATTATTATTATTATTATTATTATTATTATTATTATTATTATTATTATTATCCAATCTGTCCTTGGCTATCATCACATCCCTAATCACATGAATAATTTAATAAAAAGCTTATACGCTGATTTTAAAACTTCCGTAATTACGTCTCAGTTCCGTACCCGTTTTATACCTGTTGGCCGTGGTGTATTGCAAGGTGACTGTCTTAGTCCTCTACTATTTAATATGTGTTTCAACACATATATTCAGCATATCAAAGCTGAAAAGTACCGTCAGTTCGGTTTCTCCCTCCAACTTCTTAATCCAATCCACTGGTTTCAGTTTGCCGATGATGCTGCGGTTATTACCGGTCAAGAGTCGGAAAATCAACATCTCCTTAATCGATTCTCTATCTGGTGTCAATGGTCCAACATGGTTGTTAGAGTTGATAAATGTAGCGCATTTGGCATCAAAAAAGTTTTATCAAAATCTGCCCAGTACCTGCCGAAGCTTTTGATCAATAAGGATCTCATACCAACGATTAAGACTGGAGAATCATTTGAGTATTTGGGACGACACTTCGACTTTAGCATGACTAATGAAAAACATAAATCTAAACTGATCTCCCTCATTGATGAACTAATGTCCGAAATAGATCTTAAACCTCTTCACCCAAAAAACAAAATTTTACTTTACAGTCGTTATGTTTTGTCGAAACTATCCTGGCATTTTACTGTTGCTACGATATCTAAAACTTGGGTAGTCGAAAATATCGATTCTCCGGTGAACAAGTACGTCCGAAAATGGCTGGAAGTTCCTATATCTGGAACATTAAGTAACATCTTTCTAACCCGTAATAAGTTTGGTCTAAATAATTATCATCCCTGCATCCGTCAAGTTCATTCAGTGTCAAACAGTTCTACGCAATGCCCTAAAAACATCTCCAAACGATTCAATTAACGAACTGTGGAAGTCAACTAATAATCATATTAACATTCAATACGATAGCTACAATTCAACTAAAGAAGTTTTAAAAACTTTCCATTCTCAACAAGAAAATAAACTTAGGGACCGTTTGAAATGTCAAGGTTCCTTTTTCGAAAATGTTTCTAAATTCT